CCCCCGCCCCCCACACACACACACACATTTTCCTCCTGATGATGCTCATCTCCCCCCTTCCTATCAGTCCTGTTCAACTGCTGGAAGTTGAACAGGCCCTAAGTAGCATATGCTCCATGTCGGTCCATGCCCGAGCTTGCATAGAATTTATTACGTGCCTTTGCGTGGTAGTGCCAGGCATGGCAATAGGCCGTTCATGTGCTGAGCATTGCATATACTGCAAGTGAGTTTTCAGGTTGACAGGTTTACTTCAGGGCTGTCGGATTAGGTTAAATTGTTGGGTTGTTAAGTAAGTGTAACTTCACTGTGCAATTGCAAGTGTAAATGTAAAACTTATATTAAACAAATGTGTGGTAACCTTTTTTGTTTTTTCGTTGGTATGGAAAGATCATGCAGCCAAAAAAATACTGTTTTCTATAGCCATAAAATAACGTATTGAGTAGATGATGCCGGCACAGCGGGTTGTGACATAATGGGTGCTAATATTAGAAGAAATATCTTTATATAGGTGATCCAATTTAAAATAAGTTAGAGGTAAAGCCTTTGTTTGGTCAGATAGAATTTTAGGAAGCACAAAAATGAGTGCTTATTCATTATTGTGGGATTTATTCAAGTCTTTCCTAGCTCAAAAAATAGGCTTGTCCCACAGAACAGGGTGGAGATGCTGAACGTGTAATCCTGATACATCTATTTTAAATTACTTTTACTTTTGTGAAATATATTTTCTGTGTTAATGGCAGTTTTGTGGGTTCTTTTTGTTTTGGCTAAGCTTTTTATGAAGCTTTAATGTATTAGTTGTGGAAGACATTTCTGCTTAGCTGTGCTGCCGTGAGTTAGAATGGTGAATATTGTGCCATGTGATGTACATTAATATATACGCAACATAACAATAGACATACAAGGGTGGTCTCATGTGGAAACACAATCCTATTGGGTGTCTTTCATCATGACCATGTACCTACAGCCTAATGTGCTTCTGAATGTGGAGGTAGGAAGAGGGAACATAGACACCTCCCAGCACCATCTGAAGGGGAGGGGGGGTGTAGAACATGCAAGGGTGGTGCAATGTTCATGTCCTATCTGACTATCGTGTGGTTTGTCTGATATCTGTCGATCATAAAAACGTATATACTGTACATATAGAGGTGAGGTGAGTACAGATAGATACCTCCTGGCACCATGATGTCTCTGGTATGAGAAGAGGGAGAACAATGTAAGTTTTTCATACCTGCCTGATCAATCCTCCCATCTGTCCCATCTCAACAGATGACCAACATTAATCTGCTGCTAATATAGACATGACATAGACCTTATTAGGACAATTGTCCTAATTGGATGAGAATTATCTCATGTTCATAATCAACCTATTGTAGACATGCAATACTATCTGGCTAAGTATGTAAAGATCATATCACATTTATCTCATACCTCTGTCTAGCTTTAGATAAAGGACCTCTTAGAGCTTGGGTACATGTGTGACTCATTACATTATTTAATAAGATATAGTTTTTAAATAGTTTAATCAATTTACTAATATTTCATAATTCTGTGATAGTTACAGAGGTCACCACCTACAGAGTACATTCTGCAGGTTTCTGGTAAATACCTATATTCACCTGTGTTTTCCAGAGCTGAATTAGGGCTTCAGTGACTTGACCTAATCTGCCACTTTAACTGTTTGGAGGTACCCCTAAGAGACCGTAATGAGCACTTACAATGTCAGAAACACGTATGATCTAACTTGTTGGAGAATTTCAATGTAACTTCCAAACTTTCACCTTCTTAATAAGAAGTTGAAGAGAGGATGTTAAGTATGCCTACACCACATCAATCCATTGAAATACACAATTAACCCCAGCAGGTTTTAGTATTGCAAACTATAAGCAGATGTCTGCCTGTTCATCATGAAATCCATTTGGGTGTCTGTGCCCAACCTTGGAAGAGTTTTTCCGGTCTTGGTGTCAACTTAGCACAGAGACATAAAGTGATGGGAAATTCATGCGGAAAAATTGGGAGAATCTTTGCAAAAGAGACACAGAAGTAATGTTTTTAATAGTCATAAAATGAGGAGAAATGTCCCCATTGCTATCAGCTCAGATTTCTAGTATCCAGCACAGCTACATTGAGCAGGTTTCTTAAAGGGCTTTTTAGGAATGACTGCAGTTCATTGTAACTACATTTTGTGCTGTGTTTATATTCTTGCATGCCTTAAAGTGGTTAAGAGCAGAGTTCTGCAGATTTAAATTGCGAGTCACTACATAATTGGGTTATATGCCAGCCCAAAATGGAATACAGCATATGGTATATGTGGCCTGCCAGGACATGTGGTATTCTGTCATCGGAGATAAGTTGCCACTTCTCCAACTTTCCCTGAAACTAAATGATTGTACAATAAGTTATGTGTGTCCTTGAGAGCAGGCCAGTGACGGCAGTGAGGGTTCATTTCCCTGCAGATATTTATGAGGATTTTATTTTATTCTTGCTCATCACAAACACGGAGCTGTCTGAAGCTGCTGCCCACAGGAGAAGGGTATATTTTGGTAGAGGGTGGGACACATTCTTACAGTGGCAATAAAACAGTGCTAAGGGTGTGAAGTGATATCCATTAAAAAAAAACTGAAGTGAAGCAGCACTGAGTAAAGACCACATCTCTGCTTTCTATCCCCTCCTCCCTGTATCTTTTATATTGTCGGCTCCTTCCTATCCCTCTGTTTTGCCTCTCATTGTTTTATGAACACGCTGTTTCATTCTTCTACTGTCTGTTTTGTGTCTATCCTTGTAAAAGAAACAGGCTGATCCCATAGTCTTTTTTATCAGTATTGTGAGCACTAATGGGAATGATGCAATGTTATGCAAGTTAAGTATTTGGCTACAATGTACACCTGCATTTGAAAGAGAACGTTTAGATCTATGCGTCAATGTATATTTTGAAGGAAACGATAAATATCTTAGAGGCATGTTATGTATACTGTATATAGGATAAGATAGATAGATAGATAGATTTTATTTGTCACATACACAATCGTACAAGTATGATATGCAGTGAAATGCTTACACGACTGCAGAGCAGTCGTGACGGCAGCCGACTACACCGGCGCCATCTTTGTAGAGCAGTACGGTGACACGACGCGGATGTAGAGAGCCTGCAGCTTCTCCTAAAGCTCCGGGTGTCGCCTCTGAACGGCAGCGTGATACAAGTGCAGGAGCGCTGTACAATCTTAACCGCCATTAATCCCCAACGGAGAACCTGACTGTGCCAGTTGGTAGACGAGAAGATCGTTATGGGCCTCCGCATAATCCCACATCTTGTCCTCAACGTGGACGACTCCGTCTCCCAGGGCGTCAACATCCCTTCTCAGCAGCAAAAAGCACATCTCTATGCAGGGAGCACCCAAGAGACACAAGCACGTCCCCTAGGGTAGTGTCCAGCAGGGGGCGATCAGCAGTGGGACAATCCTCAATGGTGCTATTCATCTCCTCACACACATGCACAGTAGGGCCAGACCGCTCGTCCCCCTCCCCAGGCCGTATCTGCGCTCCCCCAGAGTCCAGTCTGGGCGTGGATTTTGCCGGGTTGGCGGTCACCTGGCTCCCACCTCCTTTCGGCTCCCGCTCGTTACGGCTGACATCTTCATAAGCTCATTGTTGGGGTTTATATACTCTGTAAGGCATGGTAGAATAACCTTCTCACATGCATTGCTCATGGGTTTTATTTTGTCCTGCGGTAGCACTATTTTGATTATGCTCTTCCTGTGTTTGAATTCCAGATACTGGGCTGGGTGACTCTGTGTGTTCCAGCCCCAGCATCTCTAGTACTACAAGCCCCAAACTGGATCCACCTCCGTCTCCGCATGCCAACCGCAAGAAACACCGCCGGAAGAAAAGTACTAGCAACTTTAAGGCTGATGGACTCTCCAGCACAGCTGAAGGTGAGACCATCCCACCTGTCCTTCCCATCTTAATGCCTGAGACCCATTAATGTCACCTATCCCTCGGGGAAGGAGAGAGGTATTTTAAAGGTAGCTTAGTCACTTTACCAATGCCATGTGTCCTCATACATTATAAAAGCATGTGTTGCAGAGTCTCACTTTTTTTCAGTCGCATTGCCAATAGATATTGGTTATTGATCAATCACTTCAATCGTTCCATTAAGTCTGCCTATTTCTGTGTATGTTGTGATGGTATCTTTATGTTCTAGCAAGAGTTTCATCATGTCCTCACTTGTAGTAGTGATATATGACAGTCATTTATAAATCTGGAGCAGAATTGGAATCCACAGCAAATAGCTTTAATCTTTAAGGGCTCATTCACACCACAATTCTTGGCTGGACTGTATTGTTTAGTACAACAAAAATGTAAAGGAATGGAGAAAAAAGTACATCAGTGGTACTAGCGTACAATGGCAAAATATCTGAAAAGGGATTGCTTTTTATTGCAGTGTGTTTCAGCCAGATTGCTTGTTCCCTTTTACCAGTGTAGCCAACAACCCCACGATTGCAACAGTTTTCGTAAAAGACACCTCCTGTTGTCAATTTAAAAAAAATGCAGATAACCATTATAGGATAACAAATGTAAATGCTGATGGAGCCTCTATAGATGGCTGTATTATGGATGCATTCCCATTGCACTCCTTCCTGGGTAAAACTGGGGGTATGGGGGGCTGCAACGACAATCTGGCAAAACAGTGATCAAAGTACAAGAAAGCACATGAGGTCAGCACACCATGGAAGTGTAAGTTTAACATTTCAGAGTCACACAGGACCGCTTTGTCAGACGTGATGATTACATGCCTGATGACGGCAATCTGCCCGACTTGTGACTTGATGTGGTGTTATCGCTTTATTATATTTCTGGACTTTTAAATTAGTCCATGGGCACTCAAAGGGTTTCTGTGCCTCCCCTGCTCCAGGCTTTATTTGAACCAAGCAACCTTGGAGCTCTCTGAAGCTTTTTGACGTATTCATTGATCCCTATGGCCAACACGCTTATTGTATACATTGGAGGTGCCAAAAAGAAAGTTTGTAGGACACATTCTGCCAATGCTATTTACGTGAACCCATATTCTGATTGACCTTCTGCATCATCTAGATGTGCCAACACACACATTATGATGACCACATTATTGATCAGAGTACAACACTGCATAATGTATCAGTCTTCTTCCATACTTTGGATAAAGTTATATAAAACTGGGGATGCTCCGATACCGATACAAGCATCGGTATCGGCGGCGATACCGAGTATTTACATGAGTAGTTGTACTCGTGCAAATACTCCGATACAAAAAAGGAGTACCTGTGCCGCGTCCGCCATCTTCAAGGACCCGAAACCGCTGCACACAGGACCTCCATAGCGTCTTCAACTAAACATGATGGCCATGGACTCCTCCTCCAATCTGAAGCAGACGGAGAAGACGACACAGCAGGCTAGTACTGCATTACCATATATACCAAAAAGATAAACCAGCTAACAAGAGTCTGGTTTAAAAAGCGTTAACAGAGGATCCGGACAAGTATTCCAATTACAAAAAGAGTTTATTAGATACTAGTAATTATGAGATAAAGGGTAATTTAAATGGTTCGGATCTCCAGGCAGAAACAAAATAGTACTGCAGCACCGCATGGGGGCTAGGCACAAAAATTCTGTTTAACTGCATATAATATTTTTTAAAAAGACATTAAAGGAGAACTATGGGGTTAAGTCTTTTCCCCATAGTTCTCCTTAGGGTAACGGGAGGTCACAAGCTAGCATCCTCCCGTCACCCTAGGCTCAGTATACCGCGAGCTGCAGCTCGCGGTATACTGAGCCGCCGCAGCTGAAGCGGATCCCGACAATTGTGCCGAGATCCGCCCCCCTGCGTGGCTGACAACTGGCACTGCCTATCTAGAGGCAGAGCCAGCTGTACCCGCCCCCTCCCCTGTCCGTTCTGCCAGTCAGCGCTGGCGGATCGGAGGGGGGAATCCAGTCACTCCCCTGTCACTGGTGCTCATCTTTTTTCCCCACTACGGGGATACAAGCCTTAGTTAGCAATGGCATGATAAATATTAATTTCATGTTCTTCATAATATTAAGAAACTGACCTAAAATCATGATTTTGTATTGCTTTAGACAAAAATGTGACCTGTCCCTTTAAGAAAAAGCATCGGTAATTGGTATCGGCGAGTACTTGAAAAAGTATCGGTACTCGTACTCGGTTTTAAAAAAGTGGTATCGGAGCATCCCTATATAAAACCAAAATAATGTATTTATACAGTACATCTAAATGTAATTGTATGACTCCCATATGTGTTTCCTATCCATTTCATTAACGGTTTATAGTCATGTGCATTTGGATTTTAAAATGTTGCGATTTTAATCTAAAATGAAGGCACCGGGGATTTCATGATGACATTTCATACAGCAAGATTTGTTGCCTCTCCTGTCTAGAGCAAATATATAATTGTGAATGTTCTTTTACTTAGGACAAATAGGACAAAGCTACCTATGGCCAGTAGATAACCATCACTAGACCCAGCGAGGATTGCTTTGTATATGTGGTGACTTCTTCAGACACCTGGGGTATCTGCTCAGTGTATAGGCAGGCAATACATACCTCACCACATCTAGCTTGGTGGTTGTATTATGTATAATTACTCTTTAGTAGTTTTCTAACACCCATGGGCAACATTCAGGCTAATACACAGGATTACAGCATTTGGTAATACACCTGGCACTCATACTTAATCTTGCTCCACTATCGTCAGCTTCACCACTCGTGTTGGCAGGCTTGTGCTGCTTGTCCATTCTTCATGTCTCGTGCAAAACGAGGGCTATGACACTTCAGTATGTCTATATTTTTGCGCAAAGAGCTTGCCCACCACATGTCTGTAGTGTGCGGTTGGGTCCCAGATTTTGAGAGACATTTGGGTCGGTTTTAGAAACATGGACTTGGCACCAGTGTGTATGCGGCCTGTTGACCTAGCTTTATAGCAATGTTAACCTTAAATAGACTTAACAAACTGTACTTTTTAACACACAGACTTATATTTCAGTATTCTAGTGGCAGCAACCCTTAAAAGATAACAAATTATGTTTGTTCTTTATGTATTTGTCTTCAACCATTACAGTTCAATACAAAACTGTGTCACTCTTAATAACTACATGACATAGTTAGGGTTGAAAAAAGACACAAACAGAACAGAAGAAAAAAAATCCAACAGAAGAAAAAAATAAAATGGAAATCCTCCATAAACCGATCCCTATGCCCACAGTTACTCCAGAGGAAGGCAAAAAACATATTATTATTATTATTATTATTATACAGGATTTATATAGCGCCAATAGTTTGCACAGCGCTTTACAATATAAGGAAGACATTACAGTCACAATACAATTTAAGACAAGATGGTAAGGAGGGCAAGCATACTCTCTGAAGGGTAACATTTTCTTTCCTCCTTTTTATCTTATATATACACGTCCTAGTATAATTTCTTTCAGGCAGATGCCCTTTATGTAATACACAGCTATAGAATTCCTATATATTCCTACTAAATATTGCTGTTTATTCTTCCTGGCACCCTTCCTGTTTGGGACACAATATCTGTAGAAGCTTTGGTGCATGGTTGATCACAGTTGCTTATTAAACTTGGCAAGCTCTAATTAACCCTTTTGAAATGTGATCCTTGTTAGACCTCTCTTCGTGACCATAGGATGTGCAGGGTCTTATGTCTTTAGCTTTCCGCACCTGGACATCCTGTGTGGTCAATCTGTGCACCTGTATGAGAACGTACATTTTCCCCCTTAATTACAGATGAGCCGAGAGATCACAGCAATAGTAGTGTGATAGTCATTGATTTCTCTGTGCGCATCGAAGGACCAAAGTGAACTCCACCAAAACAGTATTTACATTATACAGAATACTGGGGCTGTAAATCAAGAATGTCAACTTAATTTTTAAAGGGCCAAATTGGGCTCATTTTTAATACAAATGACATAAACAAAATGATTGAACCAGTGACTGCATCTGTGTAAAACAGAAATAATCTTGAAACGGACAGTTTTTCAATTCTTTTTCAAGCAGTTGCACTCCCCTGGTGTATCTGTATCATACACAAAGGGGTCTTACATCTATTGTACACCAACCAGCATGCCTATCTGAATTATACCTAGAGCAGTCTGTGTGTATTATGCACAAGACATTGTGTGCTTTTAGTTTTTAAAGATCAATCAAGATGCATCTATATTATACTCAGAACGTTTTTGTGTCTATTCTGATAAAAAAAGGACAGTGTGAGTATTTTTAAGGTACGCTTTACCACAGGCAAGAATTACCAAGTGTGTTGATTGTGTTAGGTTCCATGTGTCTATGTTCATGTCATGTTGTCTGGCATCATTTAAGATTTATGCAATGTGAGAAGTACTGCACTTCATCACATGAAAAAAAAGATGGCGTGATACACATTCTGATGACCAAAACAGCTACAACAACACAGTGAAAATGCATATATGAAAACAAAAATGTTTAATTATTTTCTGTCACTCTTGTGATCTAGGCACTCTTGCCAGAAAACAAGTTCTTGAACCTCTCTGCAGGCTGCCTTGCAATTGAGCAATACAGCCTCGTCAAGGGCCCACCCCAGCCCTGGATTGGACAGTGAAGGAGCAGGAGCACATTGATGAAGCCATCCCTTTGCCCCTCATATTCATACTGTGATTTACAGCACTGTGCAAAACATTATTAGTTCCAAATGCTTTCCCTTTATTGTCAAGTCAACAGTAGTGTCTGTTGTGCAGGGAATGAAAGGGCCTGATATTAAGACAATAATATGTAAAATATAAAGGTTTGATACATGGATTTTGTTTACATCTGCGTGAAGTTCAGCTTTGCACCTGCCACTGCCTCATCAAAATCCTATTTACCACTTTTCAGTTCCAGACTTTTTCCTTCTCACATACACATCTTCCCTGTTTTGCTCCCTTAATCCCATATTCCATTACCCCTCTCTGTTTCCCCTTTGTAGTGTTACTTCCAATTTTAATCACATATTCCATTACCCCTCTCTGTTTCCCCTTTGTAGTGTTACTTTGCATCTTAATCACATATTCCATTACCCCTCTCTGTTTTCCCCTTGTAGTGTTACTTCACATCTTAATCATATATTCCATTACCCCTCTCTGTTTTCCCCTTGTAGTGTTACTTCCCATCTTAATCCCATATCCCATTACCTCTCTCTATTTCCCCCTTGTAGTGTTACTTCCCATCTTCATCCCTTATTCCATTGCCTCTCTCTGTTTCCCCCTTGTAGTGTTACTTCCAATCTTAATCCCATATTCCATTACCTTGTAGTGTTACTTCCCATTCTTAGGACTCCGTCACAGTTTATTACTCTAGTACTGTGTGGACCATAAAGCTGGTGCTCACACGTGTGAGCCCTTTACCTCCGTTTATGTTTTCTTCCATTAGACTTACCTTCAGTTTACTTCTCACTTTAGCCAGGTGTCCCACCATGTCCCAGATTCACTTCTGCACTCCACTCCTGTCTAGCGTTATCTCTGTGTTTCCTTTTTTTTCATTCTGTTTTTGAAGTTTGTCATCATCGATGAACAATTTTGACACTGAAGGAAGAGTATAAAGGTCAGTCAGTGAATTTTGTGTACAGCAAGGCATGAGGATGGAGGGGAATGCTGCAAATTCATTCCAATGTTCACAAACCAATTTCTTCCCTTTTATCTGTCACCCCAATCTCCATTACTTGACACTAATGCTTCTCCATCTTTTCCTGAAGTAGCTTTAGCTTCTTTCACTCCCATGTTCTCATTGTGTTCCTTTCTCTGTCATCGCTGTTAGTTTTTTTCGTTGCTGAGAACAATGCTAGCTCCGGTGATCGATCGAAAGTAACGGAGCCAGGACAGGACAGCAAGGAGCGGCTGCTCTCATAGTCAGGTACGCGATCCGTGACCGCGTGCCATGACTGAAATTTTGAGCCCTGCTCTAACCTCATATTAAAGTGTATCTAAACCTAAGAACAAAAATTAAATACAGTGTAGCTTACCATTTCTTAGATGTGGTGGCTGCATTTGTTTTTTTTCTCAGGCTTCTTTCCTTTGATTTCACCTAGTGGGCCTTACAGTAACAAAGTTTGATCGGAAGCCGATTAATCGATTATTGAAAAAGTTGACAACTTTTTCAATAATCGATTATAATCGATTATGTCGATTAGTTGTTGCAGCCCTAGTATATGGTATATTTAAAAGACAAACAAAACAAATAAGGGAAGTTCATTGTTAGGATTTACATACTTTAAAACATCCTTGTAATCCTAATACTAACCTTACCTGCAACCATATTGTTAATGTAAATGTTACCTTTTGTTTGCATGCTTGCCCCTCCTAGCCTGGTCATACACTGTTAGAATTTTGGTTGACATTTTAAGTGGGTGGCCCTGTCAACTCGACAAAAGTCGTTTACTTAGTCTACTCTTGTTGAAGGAGCTAGGCCAAAAATTGTTGGTCAATCAGCTGTAAACTCTGTTTAGGTATTCTGATAGCGGCATGAAGTGGCTTTCAGAGTACAATAACTTGGCAGGGGAGCTTCAATCGTCCACACTGTTTAGCATGAATAGATGAATTTTTAGATTTCTTTTTTTCAGCCCCCAGCCAGTGCTTAAAAAATCAATGCATTCCTCCAACCATGTTAACAGCGTAGATGCAGGAATCTCAACTGCCAACTACTGTATCTAGCAGCCACAGTACCCACGGCTACCTGTATGGTGACAGCATTCTGTTTGGACAATACTTCCACCCAGATCAGTAAATATTCAATTTGATTTTCTTCGAGCTGGGTGGTGCTTGCGGGGCTCATATATTTTGGCCAATTCAGCAGGAATCGGCTAAAGCTCGGGCAGCCAAAGCTTTATTTTTTAAATGCCAAAGCTACTGTGCTGGATATTCTTTTTTTGCCTGACTCCAGTTGTTCCTCTACTACAGGTTAACATTTAGAATGGAATTTGATTGTTTCTAGCTATATAAACTTATTCCCTTTACTCTACCATTTATGATTGAACTTGTTTTGCCATTTGGTGATTCTGCTTGTTTTTATTTCAGTTCTTTGAGTTCCTTTTCTTTATATTCCTTTTGTACTCATCTCATATCAGGTTCTCTTGTGTTACTTTCCCTTTATTCTTGTTCCCTGATTTGACAGTATGCTTCCTCCCACTCTAAAAAAAAAGCAACGTTAATGTAATATGTATTTAGGATATTTGTATTTCCACAATCCTGCATTTCTTTATATTGTCCACTCTTCAAGTCATCTGCATCACATAAAGAGCATTGTTTCTCTATTATAAGTATAGAATTGATGTGATGATTATATACAAGATGTGTTCATTTATGATTCAAGGTGGGACAAGGAATGTGTGTCATCAATATCTACAGACTGTATTGTACATAAAGCAGCTTATCTGTCATTATTGTAAACATTGTTTGCATATCTTAGGGATCTACAAATGATCAAGAGTAGACTTCATGTAGCTTGGTTATATAGAGCGTATTTATATATGTTAGCTTTTTGTCCTCTAGTGTACACAATTCTGCAGTTGTAGCATAGCCATACACCGGGTTATATTGGTGTACAGTGTGCGTGATCTTAGTGTAGTTGTGTGAATTTTCTGTGTGTTTGGTCTCATTTACACAGACAAGATGCTCTATAATCTACACTCTTGAAAATGTCCAGGTGGAATGGACAGCTGTCATGGTTGGCACACCTCTGATGACCTTTATGGTATATGTGGACAGTGGCAAACACAATATACAGCTGCCGCCGATTTATGTTTGCTGATGTGCGAGCTTGCCCTTCCTCGCTCTGTGTAAAGCAGGAGCCTCCATTCACCTTAGTAGTAAGCAGAGGTTTGCCTCGAGCCGTGACTGCCGCCAAACTACCAAAGAGTTAGAGCGTATCTAAACCTAAAAACAAAAATATTCTATTGCTGCTTACCAGTCCTTATATGTGGTAGATGTAGTCGTTTTTACTTTTCAGGCAAGTTTCAGCAAATACATTTACCTGTTACCAGAAATGCAGTGTCCTTGTAATTTCCTATGAGATTCTATGAAATCACAAAGAACCTGTTCCATCAATACACCATGTTAAAGCAGATCAACAAAGCCACACATGTTTGTTTCCAGCCTGTGTAACAACCATGGCTCCTTCCATACATACAGTGGCAAAATGAGTGTAGACATGACGGGATAAAGAGTAAAAGCTTGCAAAAAGAAAACAAATGCAACCGCCACATCTGAGGACTGGTGAGCTGCCATATGTTCATTAGTTTTTTTAGATATGCTTTAAGATTGCACAGCTTTACACTGGTGTAAATTGTAATACACCTTGCAGTACATGTGTAAGTTACCACAACCAGTATACCGGTCTGTTTAACATTCTTCACAATGGTTGCCCTGCAGCCTTAATACCTGTATACGCTCCTGGGCCTCAAATCTACCTGCGCTGCACATACAGCACTGTTTGCTTGCATTTTGCCTGGAAATTGGTTGCTCTTGCCTGCTTTCCACCTATATAATTGTTTAGCACTCCACCTAGTGATGTGCACATGGCTGCCTCACACCTGGACTTGTCAGCATACTTCTCCTGCCTTGCATCTGGAGCAGTGGGCATGCCTAGCTGCTTGCCACAGGGACCAGTGCTATACATTGCATCTCCAAGGACTAACACAGAGATCTTCCAGTTAATACCAGAGTGAGACACAATTGGATGTAATGGTGAGATTTTACCACTAACACTTGTATGTGAAAATCACTGGTAACGCAGTTGCGTGTAAAGGACCTCCTTCCTACCCCTTAGGCCGTCTGTCTTTCTCTCCCTTTCTTCTTTCTTTTTTTTCCCCATTTATTTTCTTTTTCTCCGTTTCTCCTTCCCTTTTGCTCTCTGGATGCAGCTAAACGCAAAGCATGGAAACTAAACCGTGTTGGTAGCCTGCGAAATGTTTACAGCGGCAACGCCAACACAGAAGGTAACACGTGCCCTCACTGAGCCCCCTCTCCTTGCTTTCTTCGCATGTGCTCCCTCTACTTTATTTGCATGCGTTTCCCACTGATTGCACTGCTTCTTCCTATGTCTGTGTTTTATGTCCTTGTTCTTCTGCTGCTCTCATTTCCAGGAAAATATTTGTTCTTTCATACATTATCGATGAATGTGGCTTTTCGAAATAGAACGCTTATACCTATTCGAGACTTGACTAATGGCTAGAATTTGTTGTCATTTTCTATGTGCTTTTAAAAGCTAAGTTCATCCAATAATCAATCTTGCAGTTTCGGGCTGTGCAAGGAGTCGGAAGCACTCTCAGGAGTGTGTAACTGTCCAGGATGCTGGCAGTGAAATACAACTGCTCCCATCTCTCACATCAGGTTCTTCTATCACACTTTGTTGACTGAAATTTACACCCTTGCTGAATTCTCCATGCTTTCCTGTGGAGAGTAAACAGTTTTGCCCAACCACCCATTCAAATCCTGGACAGTTCTAGGCCCCTTGCCAGCAGTCCACTCAAAACAGAACTTGCAAGAATATCTGTCTGTTGGTCATAGCTAACAATTAAATGCTCCCTCTCCCATTTTTAGTGCAGGATACAAAAAGCAAGGGAGAGCCTTTTTTCTGTAGGTCATTACCCTACTTAGGGCCCAGAGTGTGAGTAATTGAACAACTTGTGCCATAGCATTGAACATGCTGTGCATTTTGTTGCCCTTAAATGTGCATTCTTTTTTCATGCATTCATGCAGATGTTTCCATTCTTTCAACCCAGAGAATGCAGGAAAAATGCATGTCTTAATGTAGCTTTTAAATGTTGATGTCATTGTTATATAAAGTAGTATTAAACTCTCAAATATAGTTTTTAATAATTAATTCAGATCACACAAATATATATATGGCCCAGCAAAGTATTTCTTAAAAATTTTGCCCAAACACTTGGTCATCACGATTCAGTTAGCTCCAACTCTCTTTGCTTAGCTTCCCTGAATGTCCTGTCCAGTACAAGATCAAAATAGGAGGAAAGAGTAGATGTGTTGCTTGCCCTGATGTGCCTGTGTGTTTGTGGAGACACGCTCAGCTTACTAGCACACCCAAGGGTGGCTCAATAGATCCCAGCAAGGGAAAGAAGCCACCCTAAAACAAGGGCCAGTGCTCAAAGGACTAGCTTATTCTACAGAAAACTAAAACCTTTGAACATCAAAGAGCAGCATCCATTGTAAGTAGGGATGCACAGATACCGGTATTTTGGTACCGAGTACGAGTACCGATAAATTTTGTTCGGTACTCGCCGATACCAATTACTGAGTAACAGAAGTCCCATTCAGGAAGCCAGGTGTCGTGTAATGACTCGCCATCTGGCTTCCTGATAAGCCGGGCAGCGTGTAAAGAGTCGCCACCCGGCTTCCCGATTAACAAAAAAGTCCCCTCTTACCTTAGTATGTGCAGCCTGTCATCCCTCGGGGCCTCTCCAGCGAGAACGCGGCCTTCGTCCGGTACCCAGCCGGAGCCTTCTAGCCGGCCAATCAGGGAGCCGGGTGCCGTGTAATGACGCGACGCCCTGCTTTCTGATTGGCCGGGAGGCCGGTTCCATGCTCTCTTGTCATGCGATGACGAGGGAGCATGAAGCCAGCTTCCCGGCCAATCAGAAAGCAGGGCGTCACGTCATTAGACGGCGCCCGGCTTCCTGATTGGACGGCTCGGGCTGGGTACCGGACGAAGGCTGCAATTTTGCTGGAGAGGCCCCGGGGGGATGACAGGCTACACATACCAAGGTAAGGTTACCTCACGAGTCCAGCTTCTGGTCAATTGCGAAACCGGGCAGCATGTAATGACGCGCTGCCCAGCTTCCTGATACCTAAAGTACTCGTTCTAGGCATCGGAGCATTTGGGCGAGTACGAGTACTTGCCCAAATACTTGGAATCGGCACCGATATCGATACTAGTATCGGTATCGGTGCATCCCTAATTGTAAGTGATTTAACCAGCATTTGATATGGCTGAAAAACCTTTTCCCGTTAATATCACTTTAAAGCCGAACTCCAGGCAAAATAGTGAAAGTTTGGCTGTGATAGACATCTTGTGGCTTACCTTTAACCCGATGTGCTTTTAGGAATTGTGTCTCCTGTGACCATCATCAGATCCCTCGCTGACTTTCCCCAGCCATGAGCGTCCTCCTAATTTGATGGGAAGTTCATACATATCAGACAGTCTAGTCCTGCCAGTGACAGAAAGGAGAGAACTTCCCTGTCACCACCCACAGTGTGGCACACAGGGCTTTATGTAATGTCTGGGACAAAATACAGCATCTCCTCCTGTGACTTTCATCCACTCATGGTAATGTCACAGGTAAGAAAAACACTTGTGTGGTTATATATTTTACATGTAAAAGCATTAGGGTTGTAGACTGCTTGGGGGGAGCAGAGACTGTGGTTATTTGAATGCAATCCTGGAGTTAAACTTTAAAGAACCTTATAGCTGTAAGATAAGTATTCTGGATTTGTAAAAGCCTCCCAATGCTTGATTCCTGATGCACGGTGCAAAGTCAACAACCAGCATTTTCAAAAGATGGCTAGAAATTGCATCTCTCCAATGGTGATAGACACCACAATCTATCTATCCCTTCCCACTTCTATCCAAAACCAGAAAAAAAGTTTTGGCTGGAGTTATTTTTTAGGCAGAAAGTTTAGCCAACAAATGTAAGGAGCAAATACGATTATAAAATAAGGGACAATGTGTGAGGTAAGGTTTTTTTAAAAGCATAACCTACACTGTTGAGATCATAAGCTCAGTTCACAAAGCTAACACCCCGGATTATGGATCGTTATTTCCACAAATGTGACCGTTCTTTTCAGCTGAGTCCAATCAGATTCCAAAATTGCAGTCAAATGGCTAAAATAAAGCTTTGTATCCTTGTGTTAAAGCTTTGTCATTTAAGCCTTATATATGTCAACCAGCTCGTATTCATATCCATTTTGGTTCAGTGATGTACAGGTCTGTAAAAGATGTACTCTTCTGTCAAATATAATGCATAGCTGATAATTAGCTATTCTCCACATGACCGAACCTGCTGGTAAATGACCTGTAGGTGGACTGATATTGATTGGGCCCTGAACATTTTTTTTTGTATCTGTCACTGTATTTGGTGAATGCACAAAAGCATATTCTTATCTTCAAAAAGGGGTATTAGACTTCATCATTGGATGTCCAATTATATGGCGGAATGTGTTAAACATTCAGCTTAAAGCGCATCTAAACCCAAGAAGAAAAAACATGTAATATATATTACAGCTTATCGGTCCTCAGATGTGGTAAATGCATTCATTTTCTTTTTTCTCTGTTTTGTTTCTTCTTTATTTTTAATTAGTGACCCTGCACACTTCATGTCCTAGGGTGGCAATGCTCACTTCACTGTATCTATGGAGGAACAGATTTGACATCCTAAGAAAGGACTACAGAGCACCCCCTACTTTTCTTCCTACCATAGTGGGGGTTGTTCTATTGTTCACATATGTGAACTGGACAGGGATGATCAGACTAATCAAAATAACACTCTAGAGCGCACCGGGCAACACTGGATTTCTGGCAGGACCATTTGGTTGTTTTTTGGGGGGGGGGGCATTTTTGCACTTATCAGACAGATATTATAAACATCTTCAATGGAATAAGTAGTATAACAAAATGGAGCCAAAAGGAGGAGACTTTCATTGTTCGAATTTGAGCAACCCATACCAACCACCTAGATTCCATCTTAGTGGTTAATTAACAGTGTGAGCTCTGTTTGGTTGCTATTGGTTAATGAACTTAATTGTTTCTCTTTCTTGAATCAGGCCACATGTCATCTAGCATGAGGACACTTTTAGACATCTGCACCCTGGAAAAATTCCAGAGGTTTATAGGATAACATGTCAAGTGTCATTATGTGCATATCACTGACACACTGCAGCCTGATACTTGCATTGTATTGCATTGAACAGTCTCACATATAAGTGTCATGATCTCCTCACAAGTAAAGATATGTAATAAAATGGTTTGATCTTGCAGAAGATATTTCCTTTTCTGCACCTGACTTCTTGACAATGTACCCTTTTGAATTCACTCCACATGAAACCTTTTGGAGCCTTAAATATCAGATAACAATATTAAAAAGGGACAATAGTTTGTTGTGATATAGATGACAAGGTTACATAAAATGTCAAACATCTTAACGCTTGTCATTGTAGCAGAGGTTTTATGTAGACACATGTGACTGTTTAAAGATATCGAGTCTTTTTTATTATAGAGAAAGACAGAAAAACAAACATATGTATACATACACAGTAGATAAAGTAACCAATTCAAATGGGTATAGATGTATTTATATGTATAGACAGCTATTTGTATTGATCTGTGTAGAGAGAGTCGTGAATGTAGATATATGAAGATATATGAAATTTTATAGATACAGACATACATATATAGGCATGTCTTTATATATATATATATATCTATATATATATATA